GAAAATATAGTTAAGTATACTATCCGGATTAGCTAGAGGTTTATACGTATTCAAGAAACCCTTTATACTTTAGTAGCTATTAATTACAAGCTTAAAATAGGCCAGAGCCTATTTAGGTAGTAAGAGAGTATTTAGAACAGCTAAATTCGTAAGGTCCAAAGCAGCTTACTATTTAGTAACGAAATTATATAAATCACTACTAGTATAAGTAAGCTTAATCAAAGATAATAGCCTATAGCTCAAAGCAGTATAGTTACTAGTACCGTATATATTACTAATATAAAGGAAGATTTTATATAAATCTTTATAATCGCGTATAAAGCTACAAGCTAAATCGCTAAGTATACAATAGATAAGGTATTTCGCAAGCGCATATTTTCGGCGAAACCAGTAAAATCGGTTATTTAGTTAAGTCATATTCTTATTAATCCACTTATTAAATTCCTCTTCGGTAGGTTCTCGTCTAAGTTAAGCGAAAAGGACGTTTTAGATAGCTTCCTCTATAGGAGTATTACGAGACTCTTAAATAGGGTATATTAGGTTACCTATAATAATAGACCATAGATCTTCGTCCAGGCTATCTACAACAAATTAAAGCCCCTATTTCCATTTCTCGAAGTTAGCTCTTCCCTTAAGTATAGGGACTGATTCGGCGAAGGTTTTAGCCGCCTTATAAGCCTCGAGATCAGAAACCATATTAAAGATACATGAATATATTAATCCTACTACGACGAAGTGCCGCTACGTAGGTAATACCTGCTACGACGATATACCGCTACGCAGGTAAAGAGCGTAAGAGCTCTGAAAAATAGCGTAGAAGCCGGAAGGATTTTATATATTTTTGGATGGCGTTAAAGCCGAAGGAGGGACTTTGGCGACGATTCGATGCGATAGCTTCGGTAGCCGTATTCGATGCGTAGGGATCGTCAAGTCGTAAAGAGGTGCGAAGTCTGCACTCTGTAGAAGGCGCAAAACGCGCCGAAAAACGATGGAAAAAGAAGGAGGTTATTTTGCAAGTTGTGCCTAGGCAGTGAGGAAATGTGAATAACCTCACTTTTTGTGCGCTAAGCAGGGCTCATAACCTATTGGAGGCTACTGTGAGAACCTATTGGAGGCTACTGTGAGAACGTAGCAGACCCAAAAGAGGGGAGAAAGGAATGGTGAGATTGCATCTGGTGAGAGGTGCCTATCTAAGCTACGAAGGTGGTGTGCGTGGGCGCGCACCACGCTGGTGACACGCCTGACCACCAAGCTATCTCAACACATGGCACGAAAACGGGCCAGCAAGATATTGCTGCATTAACCTACTTGAAGGGTTTTTGTACAGAAGATTTTGTCCCTGTTGACATAACACAGCATTCACGACGCGGTGAGATGATCGTATGACCAGCCCCTGAGCTTTTTTTTCAATCGGTCACCTTCCTCCAGGCAATCTTCTGTCCCACAAGACATTCAATGTGTCTGTTGCATACCAGTCTCTGAGAGGCCGGACCACTCAAGAGATTTTACGGCAATTTGTGAATCTCGAGAAAATGCCAAACGCTGTCAAGTCGGAGAGACGTCGGGTTTGAACTGCGTTTCAGACCTATTTCTTAAGTGGGATGTCATGCGAGTCTAAACTTCATCCCCTGGTGAGTTGGAGTGAGCTGTGTCCGGGACAAAGGAAGAAACTTGATGGATAGCACACTTGGGTTACTACATAATCCATGACATCGTCCAACAATCGGTTATCAAATTGACTCAGAACACAGCGATCGGGCACTCTTCAATAAATATCTGTAGAGGCTGCGCCTGACAAAGATTTGCACTTTTTAGGACCATGCAATTTCATTTTGCGTCGAGTGTCGGCCTTTTTTCACTTCTCAGAACCTTGGCCTCGCCGAGCGGAGACACTGAGACGTCAGGCAGACGGACACGATATATTGCAGAGCTCAGAATTTCTGAGTATAACACAGGTTCTCTTGCCAGCACTATCACTCGTTCGATCTCTGACGATCAATTCATCTCAAATTGATCTTACCCCAACACAACTCATGTCCTCCACGTCACCTACCCTCCATACGCGAGCTCGGCATTATTTCAGATTGGAGTGTCATGGAGCCTATCATATTCTACATTTTCCTCGCTCTGCTCGTCTATCTGCGATATTACCTGCTCTGGCATATGCTCACTCAGTATCTGACACGGAAGATCATCTGCCGAGACACACGCTGAGTACCCATCGGTCTCGTCTTTTGACTTCTGCATGTTCAACTGGGAGCACAATGCAAAACATCTGGCCCATCTCTGGTGTTTATTCAACACCAGTCCCCTTCTTGATTATTCACTTTCGCACGTCGGCACGTCACCACACCGGCGAATCGCCGAATTAGTCTCTCATATGGTCTTGCCCTCCTACAGGTTCGACACTTGATGACATTCAAGAAAGGGCAACGGGTTTTTTCTTCATTGCTACGTGTAATTGCAAATTCAGTCCCAGATTTGCCCTTCGTTAAAAGTGATCGAGATCTCTGGAACCCGATACATCCATATGACGCTCAAGATGGCTCATATATCATTTCGATTCGACCCACTCACTTCGGACATTCATGAAATGCCAACACTGGCAAACTTGAACATCGTGGATACTATCCCATTCCCGAATTTCTCCTTCAAAGTGACTGATTTTCTCACAAGGCTTTACTTTTACATTGCTGGTCAAATGCGTGAAATTGGGTGCACTTGATCAAATTATGTGAGGGAGCGATCTGAGTTCACTGAAAATTTTAAAAAAGCGGCTCGAAGTCTGCGAGATGGATGGCATCGGACAAGTTCTTCTGCACATTCTTGACAGCGCGTGAAAAGCAGGAAGAGCAAGTGCATGCAAACACGTTTCACAAATGATAGTGTGGTCTGTTGACTACTGCATGACAGAACACGTGCGATCAAGTTAAGGATCCGAGATCCTAGCACAGAACCAATACATGATTTACGAGTTGTGAGTTCTCGGGGACTTTATTTGATTAGCCTCCATGAGGCTAACAGACTAGTTCCTGTAGAGTAGAGAAATTACGCCTAGGACGAGGACTAATGCTAGCAGCCTTGGCGATACCGAGATACTTGAGGAGAGCTTGAACGGAGCCTGGGTGAATCGAATAGTTTGTCGTCTTGTGCCATAGTACATACCGACACTGATAAGCTTCCTCTCTCAATCTCCCAGCCACAAAAGTACAGCAGCCCACGCCCCTGTGTATATGAGTGAGACAACTATAGAGCTTAAGTAATTCTTAATCTTCTCCCAAACACACTCCTGTGCATAGAAACGCTATAGATCATGCACAGCAAATATCATTGATCAGAGAACCTGCACTTGAAGACCTAGAGAGCTCTGGTAATGTCGGTACCGTCATCTCCTTTCGAGTTCCAATGCCACTAGAGCATGTATCCACCCACAGTCCTCTCTCCACCTTCCACATCTTTACCCCCTCCAGTGGATAAGGTATACCTCGACTCACTTCAGATGGGACCTCGACGACGCCCGGGCAGAGCTTCCTATATCGCAATTTCTATTCATCCCTCTTCATAGTTCACCTGATCTTCTCCCCTCCGAGTATCTCTAGTCAAGACAATTATCACATTACATGCTCTCCCGCCGCCCTCGATCTACCCGTATATCTGCAACAAAACACCCCGTGATATCGACTCATTCATCGAACAGATAGGAAAGCCAGCCCGTTTTCGAAGTTCTTTCCGGAGACGTCAGCTTCTCGGGCCTGATGTCCCATTTTTAAACTTGTCCGACTGTATACCAGCAGAAAAACTGGCTAATCCATCAGGCCGTGAACTCGCTTACACGACGAACAACTCTAATTCGCATATAACACAGGCCATACTTGTATCTCCATTTCGGTCTGATTCTCCAACTCCAGCAATTCCCTACCGTCGACCTCACATCATCATCAACATGCAGGAAAGTCAAATCCAGTCCCCCAACTCTCCATAAACTGATATTCTTTCCATCCATCAATTGAAAATTAGCCGGTCTTTGCTCTTCGCTCTTCACAATCGATCTCATCATGGAAAGCTGTCTGGCTGGACTTTCTAACAAAGCGCCCCGAAGTCGAAGCCGCTCTATATGGGTTCCTGTCTTGGAAGCTGTCTGTCGCTTTGAGTTTACGGAAACAGTGAAGTCGGGTGAATGGAGATGAGACGGAAAGAACTCGTGTGAAAAACTTCAACTGATAATACAGATTTGCGCGAGATCGGATCCGGATTCCCATTTGTTACATGACTCGAATCCAGTCCGACATAATAAAACCTCACATTGACAACGGCGCGTTGGTAAACCTTAGACCTGGAGATAATACGGGGCCACGCTTGGGGGTTTCACAAGCTCACGCTGAATGACCCAGTATTACCAGACTATATAGGTTGTTGTGTGAGCATGCATCCATCTGGATAGATACCTTGGACGCTTGGATGGGAGCTACCGCTATCGAAGCTGAGCGGTAGCCTTGATGAGCTTGCTTCTTGATAAGGCTGAAGCTCTTTATCGCGTGATGTTTTTTCCCTCTTCAAATAACAACATCTCATGGAAAGGTCTCGGCGTTTCTCAAGCAAGACAAGTCTCATTCGAATGTACCTTGCCAGCTTAGAACTACGAAAAGTCTCAGCTCCAAGACACAAGAGCACAATACATGGATCAAATTCTTTATTCATCACTCCGCTCTGTACGGAGCGGTGTAGAAAACAATCATAACAAATAAACTCGACTTTTTCTAAGCCATACAATCGTCACGTTGATAGTTATTATAAAGGTGGCATAGGGAGAAAGATTGGAAAAAGCATCAAGCTTTCTCCAAGACAAAAGGGGGTGGGAGGGGTATGAGATGGTGCCTCAAGTAGGCGAGCGAAACCACGGCAAAGGAGAATGCAAAGATGCGAAGACCCAGGTTTGATCCCGGAAGACACGAAGGGCAGAAAATACACAATGAAAGAAGTGACGAATTTCCTATTACAGTCTAAGAGGACTGGATTTGGGAAATACGCTGGGTCATGCTGTTCCAACTGTCAGTATCGGTCGCATCCGAGAATTGGAGAGGGGAGAGAATCAGCAACGTACAAGTCAAAGAAGGAGAACTGGCTTGGCTGGTTGCCATACTTGTAGACGAAGCGACTGGCCAGGTGGCTACCAAAGATGGCACGGAGGTAGTTCTCGGGGACCTGAAAAGAAGAGGGAAAAAAAATTGTTAGTTAGGGAATTCCCAGAAAAAGCAACCCAAAACATGACACAAGAGAGATTGGAGATTCCATCCACTTACCCGCTCCAGAATGGTGTCCAGACCAATCTTCTTCAGCAACAGGTTGGGGAGAGCATCACTGAGCACTGAACGGCGAAGGGGAATGTTGTCCCACAATGCCGTCTGCTGCAGTTCTTCGTCCAGCTTGGTGATCGCCACGCTGAGACGGTCACTCAAAACACTGCGCAGCACGCCAGTCTGCTCATGCTCACGCCAGATGGCCTCAAACTCCAGCTCGGCGTTTTCTTTGATGATCGCCTGGACCTGCTTGACATAGGCCTGGTAGAACTCGGGAACGGTGCCATCCTCGGCGACGCACATGTTCTCGACGAATTCCTCGTCGTTGAAGGACAGCGAGGCAAGGACCTCAAGCGAGGAAGACGTCACACCACCCTTGTTGGCAGATGCATCCTTGAACAGGATGCAGCCGGCCTTCTCAAGGCGCAGCTTGCTGTCCTGGGTAATGAAGAGGTTGGCGCCCTCCACAATGTAAGGAATGATAGCCTTGTTGTCCTGGATGAGCTTGCCCACAGTCGACAAGTCAATGGACTCGGGACGACCACCGCACGGAACAAAGACGTCGAATTGCTCGCCCTCGGCATGACGCAAGTGGAAGGTGTTGCGGAAATTCATGCCATTGTGGACCACCTCACCCGAAGGCAGCTTGACATTCTTCTCGTCCACCAGCACGCGATAGCCAGCCGGGGACAACTTGCTCAGATCAAACTCGGAGATCATGACCCGCTTCTTGGCCAGGCGGAGCAGCTCAGCGTGATCCAGTCCGTTGGGGTCGACGAGAACACCCGCACCATCGACGATACCGACATACTTCTCATTGGAGAGCAGGATCTCGTTGGAACCGAGATCGCCGTCGGGCCCACCAGTCTGCAGCTTGCGCATGGTGGAGGGATCGATACCGAGCTTGCGGTAGATACCAAGCACGTACTGACGCACGGAAAGAGTAGTCATGCCGTAGGTGTCGTGGGGAATACCACCCAGCTTGGGGCTCTTTCCAGTGAAGAAGGACTTCCACCAGGGAGCCCCACGAGCACGAGCGTGCTCAGTGGCCCAGTCCACCAACTCGGCAGTGTTCTCGTCGGGACCCATGAAGAGGATCTCGTCCTTGCCGTGCAGGTCCACGATGGGATCCTTGATACCGGGGCTGACCGGCGGCAGCAGCAGGTCCATGATAGAGTCGATGTACTTTTCAAAGGCGACCCGCGCCTTATCCTGGTGATTCACATCAAGCAGAATGACACCCTTGGCTCCACCTTCGGGGATGTCCTTGTTCTTGCGTTGTTGCGTGTTGGCCAGGTTGTAGTTCTCATCGAAGAGCGAGCGGGCATTGATGCTGTACGCCTCCTTGTTTCGAGACTTGACAATACGGATACCACCACGGGCGATATCACGGAAACGCAGGTGGAAACCACGGAACTCGGAGCTGATCACAAGGAACATACCGTACAGCGGCTGAGGATACTCATGCTCGGGCAGGAAGTCGGGCTTCAGGCGGAAGCTGAGCGCGACCTTGGTTGGGGTGAAGAAGTTGGTCTTGAGAACAGAGTTATTGAAGACGCGGAAGGAGTTCATGACCATCTCGTCGTGCTCGTTGGCGGCCGTGTTGCGGATCAACTGCTTGAGCTTCTTGTCATCCAGGACCTCGTCGACCTGCAGACGGAGGTAGCTGAGGGTGGGCAGGAAATCGTCGCCGCGTTCCGTGATCTGAACATAGTGGGTGTTGGCGAAGCCCAGATAGAGCTTGTGAATCAGCTCGGGGTAGCTGTTGATGATCTCAAAGATGTAATCCGCGGTAAAGGTCTCGGTACGCAGACGCTTCTTGATCTTGGAGAGCAATTCAGCATGCACGCTGTTGTTGGAGTCGAGCAGCGCCGACAACGATGTGTACTCGGAGCCGAGACGGTTCAGGAACTGCTGGACAAAGACCCAGGCGCAGTGAGCGTAGATGGTTTCCTGCAGACTGAGGCGACCCGTGGCAAAGTGGTGCTGGAAGCGATTCTGAGGAATACAGTAGAGCAGAGAAGCCTCCTTCATGATCTGGTGGATCGAAGCCTCGATGGGAGGGAACTTGGCCGACTCGGCCACGGCCGAGGGACGCAGGTACAGGGAGATGACGGTGATGCCGTTGGAGAAGTTCTCGAGGTACTTGCGGGAGCTGGTTAGGCGGTAGTAGTGGTACAAGTCCGAGAGGGCACTGAACAGGCCCATGGCGGAGCCCTGGCGGTAGGCAATGACCAGACGCTTCTCGCGGCTGCCTTCGATCTCGAACATCTCAATGACGGGGCCGTGGCGACCGACGGCGGTGCTGATGATCTCCTGGTAGATGGCCTTGGTGTTGGGGGTGGCTTTCTGCAGGAAGCGCTTCTCACCGATGATTTCAATGTTGGTCTCATTGGGGTCGGGGTTGGGGTTGGCGAATTGGCACTTGTAGACAAAGTAGCAGCGCAGCTGCTGGCCCTCGTCACCGGGGAGAGTCGTGGGGGATCGGAAGGTCTCCACACGGTAGCTGTCGGCACCCTTGGAGGTGTTGATGTACTTTTCGTCGATGCGCTGCTCGTAGCGCGGGCCGTTGACGGTTGACACACCAGGCCTACTAGTGTCAATGTAGACGGCGTGGTCCTCAGCTTCCTTATCGAGGCGGATCTCCAGCTGCTTGTCATCGCGGGCATAGGCGGCGACCTTGGCGGCGTAGAGGGAGAGGATCTGGGTCACGATGTTCTCGACGGACTCGGTCTGGAAGTAAGTGTCGTCGATGCCCAACATGTTGTAGAACCAGGTGGTTTCGGAGAGGACGAAATCGCTGGGGAAGAAGCCCTTTTCCTCCAATTGATCCATCACTATGGGGCCGAGGCCACTCTGTTAGTTCAGGGTTCCCCAATGAGACGTCGAGTTCCACCCAAAGTGTATTCTTACACCATCCGGCTGGTGACTGGGTGAGGGAACATTCATACCTTGCTCCATCTGCTTCTGCTTGCCCTCGAATGTCTCAGCAATGTAGCCAGGGTCCTCCTCGGACAGCACACGGTGCGGGGTTCCTGGAGTGCCAGGCGTGCCCGGGGTACCGGGGAGGCCGAGGTGAGTGGGCTGCGGCGATGGTTGCCGCAACGCAGCGCCGGCGACATGATCGAGGTGCTTGTTGTGAGGGAATCGCTGGAACCCGATGGGAGTGCCGGGCCCAGAGCTGCCTTCGCGGCTGCTGAGGCCTGCTGTGGGGCGGGTAGGCAGCGCGATGCCGTTGGTCTCCGTCGGAGTACCGAGAGCAGGAGACGACATGATGTGTTTTTGGTGGTGTAAACGATGAGGGACAAACGGAACGGGGTCGAAGAAAGTCGAGAGAGAGAGACTCTAAGCACGAGGAGAGAAAATCAGGTGCTGGCGAGTCACCAGAGAAACGAATGTCAGTCCCCGCTGTCACAATGACTCGAATCTTCAAGGGTGTAGGTGATTCCCAATGCGCAAGAGAAGAGGGGAGTAAAAGAGTAGTAGGAAGAATAAAAAACGACAGAAATCCTAAGAGGCGAGTGGGTTGACCCAAACAGGAGATTGCAGAAAAAGGTTACGATTGAAGCCAATCGACGCCCGCTTATCACCGGGCAGTCACAGCCGCACCCACCGCAACGTTGACCGGGAAGCACCTGCCCCTCTGCCGGTGATAGCTGGGATGGCAGCGATAAGCCGCGATAGCGGTGATCAGCAGCTACAATTGCAGCATTGACTGCTGTCGCATTCATAGCTATCGCAATTGCAGCTGCAGCTGCAGCTGCTTCTGCTGACCGCGATTCTGGACATGATTGTGGTGCGTTTGGGGGTTTTCCCGCGGGCAGTATTGCGGTCCTGACAATGCCAGATAAGAAGCAAGGGGAGACCATTTCAGAGATAAGGCAGCATTGCGATAGAAGGTTGATCCATCACTTCGCCCACTGGGTGGAGGGGTAGCTTCAAGTTCTTCCTCCAGTCTCCTCACTCTGTATGGTCATCTAGGATGCCCACCAGCAGGAATTGAACAGAGGCATGAACTGAGCGTCCTATCGGCCAGGAAGATTTGCGCAACATGGGAAACGCAAGACGGGTGTGTGATGGAGACAAGTAGCAGTAGTGGTGGTAGTGGTAGTTGACGAAGAAAAAGAATTGAACTTACCGTCGCCATCGACTACAGTCGAGTGTAATTGTTCAAGGAATCTGTAATCACAATGCTGGGATGCAAAATGAAAATGAAAATTTGGAGATCGTGAATATGTCCTAAATCCGGGGTACCATCAGCTACTTAAATAACAGCGCAATTGCGAGACCTTTTTGATGTTCTGCCTCCATTGGTCAGAGAGAAGTATGGACCAGGCCTTGATTTCATCAGATGTGGAATTACGATTTTAGAAAAAAAAAATCATAGAAATGCGTGATTATCACTCTTGGCATTTAATTCATTTTAGGAATTATGATTTTCTGTTTTTGTCGCGATTGCCCTTCTCGATCAGGTCCCATGATGCATGTGACCACTGTCCAGTGTCCAGAGTATATTTCACTCATACTAATGGACACACTGGGTACTGGACACTGACAGGATATACTGAGAGTAACATTCTCCATTGCGCGACTAAACGTCCCCAGCACGTCTCCAACAGGAAGAACCTTCCCACCCCTGGGAACCAGTCATAGCCGATGCTAGGCGGATCTCTTCCAGCAACCAGAAAATCTCCCCGCCCCATGATTAATTATGCTTGCTCTACACTCATTCCACTGACACGGCTTTTGCAGTACACAGTAGTACTTGGAGGAAGTACGTACCAGGGAGTCATTTGCAAGTACCCAAGAGTACTGGCAGAACCTGCTGACTTCAAACCCAACTTCATCGTGGCCGGGTCTCGAAGTCTCGAAGGCCCTTGATCCGCACCCGACTCCACTCCGCCCACGCTCATTCCACCACGCGTCTTCCCCCCTTGGCCAGTTCCAGTTCTAAAAAAGGGCTCAACGGGCCCAACTGGCCCAACTGGCCCAACTGGCTCGGGCGGTGGATGTGAGAAGTTTCCAACATACCAGAACGTGACTAAGAGGACACCGCCAGGCGGCGAGTTCAACCCAGCCCTGACCTCTCGGCGACTCGGTGATTGGTACACCAGACCAGCGTTGAACGGTGCGCCCCTCCTGGTCCCTCCGAGAGGCCCCAGGTCCTCAAGGGCCGCAGCAGACCTCGTGGGGTCACTGGTAGGAGGCGTCTAGGGAGAGGCATTTGTGACGGTAGGAGAGAAGAGCATCGTCGAGCGACGGAGCATGGCAGAAAATCCCGCTGCGTCATGCGGGCGGGACAGAACAAAGTGGGATAGCAGATCCATTGACCACCTGCACCAACAGAGAAGGCGCTGCATTTGGTTTGCGCTCGAAGGAAGAATTGCCTCGCTTGGGGCCTAGAACAAGGTCTAGGAGAGTTTTATACTGTACATTTCAATAGTCATTGTGATACTCTGATAATCATTCTATCACTGATTGAAATAGTGTAGGACTAGGCGCATCATAGAGGCTAGGAGGAACCTGGAGGACACCTTCGAAATAGATACATACATCTCATTCAATTCAATATGATGGGCTATTCTCGAAATTCATTCTCAGCCATACACTCGCCATGCATCCGTATCATTTCACCCAATACGATGGATTAAAATGACCATGCCCTTTTTCATCAGAACTACACTGTCAAGGTACCATCCAATTCCCGAAACGATGACTGGTAGTCATAAATTCCGTCCAGTCCAACCACCTCCAAAAAGCGGTGTTGCCTCTCGCTCTCACAAATAGATCAGGTCAGGAGTCCAAGTCACCAGACCTCAGGCCTTGCGGAGATCGGGTACCGCCTGCCGAGATCCAGAAATAAAGGAACGCCTCAAACCAAAACCACAGCGCTCATCAAAATCACATTCAAGGGTAGAGTGAACTTTACGCGGGGAAAGCATCGAAACGGTGAAGAATCCAAAGTCACAGGACCTGACGCTTTCCGAATCCATCGAAGAAGGGGCTGGCTAATGTGCAGTACCAAGAGCGTGGATCGTGGAAGGCCATTACAATTACAACCGACTCCCGAGTCAGAAGTATACACGTGCACACGGTAGGAATTGACTCACTACCTGAGGTAGTTATGTACTTAGTACTAACTACTAACTCCTGTACAATTGTACATTGCACAATAAGATAACACTCCCTTGGAAGACTTCTCGGGTCTTAGCACTCAAAGATGCGGATGGTGGATACCTCACGCAAAGGAGCGTGAACTCCACCAAAACTTCGATCAGGTCACCTGAGCTGGGCCGCAGGGTGCACTGGCAGGCTGGCAACATTCCACGATCAGGTACCGTCTTGCAGCACGCCGTTTTGAATTCTCGAGAATTTTTGAATAATTGCTATGCATGAGTTACATGAGTCAGTGACTCGATAGCGCTGCAGAATCAATCATTGATGTATATGACGGCCCTATTTTCCATGCTCCAACGCTCCCTAGTCCCTACAAGTCCTATACGAAGAACAACACCAGCATAAGGACCCCAAGCCCCTCCAGACCACTTCAAAAAGACCAAAAACAATTCATCTAGCAAGTCTAGACTCCCTGGAGTCCCTCCTCGAGGTTTCTGTCACAACATGACTTCTTTTTCACTACTCGAATCAATTAATCGCGCATGTCCACGGCGCAATAGCAAACGAAAAGATCAAAGTAGAGTGACCAGATTAAGGAGTCAGGAGAAAGGGGGAAAAAAATAGGAGATCCAAAGGGTCATCCTGACGATTGATTCGATTAGACTTCCGAATCTGAGTCGATCGTCGACTATCGTGGATTGCGATGTGTCATGGCGTCCCCGGCAGATCCTGTTGCAAGACATCATAGTCGGAGTCCCCACGGAGTTGACTGGGGTTGGGGGAGGGTCGGACTACCGAGAGCTGCTCCGTAGGGGGAGGACCTGGCTGGATTTCACGATGTACCTCATACTGGACCTAAATGGGACGTGGATGAATACTGGTGATTCTGGGAAATGAACGCTCGGTGGTCATGCCAATTGGAAGATGTGGTAGATTCTCAATCTGTATGCCTGAGAAGTGACTTTTGAGCTTTGAGCAGGAACAGGCGAATGCGACGCTATGTACCTACCAGCTAGCTACTAAAGTCTTCATCGTTCGATCTTTGATTATCGCCTGGGAATATCATTGCATGTAGTGATATCCCTGTCATGGACAATATTCAAAACAAATAAGCGGGATCATATTTCCATCAGAGGTAGTTCAACGTCTCATACACATGGCACACAGCACACACTAGACAGCGACACATCATCATTTGCTTGCCCCATGTGGCACAACAGCGAAAAGTTCATCCGAAACCTCAACCTCCAAATCCATTACCTTATCGACCCTCCACGCCCCTTCCCGTCCGGGGGATTCTCGCCAACCTCCATCCTCAACGGGAGGCGATCCCGGGGTATGGAGATATGTACCACCGCCTAGGGTTCCCAGTCCACCAGGGTCGAGATCATCCATCTACTGAAAATCCAGCCCATGACAAAAATAAATGGAGCCCCTTCCTGATATGCCCTAGCCTGCATTTGCATTTGCATTTGCATTTCCACTGACATGAATAATCACGCAAGCGACGAAAATTTTCCTCGTCGATTACTCGATCAGGATACTTATAATGTAATAGCCCGCGGCTATGACACAGAGATTCGCACTTCTTACGGGGCAACAAGTAATGGCAACTCTAAAATTTCCATTTGGTTTCTTGGGGTTTGCCTCTTCCCCAGGCCGGGCCGGCTTGGAACCGGAAGACGACCAGAGCGGAGAAATTCGCCAACTTGGCAGACCGAGTCGGTCGGTACCTGGATCGCCGGTTATTGCGGGGTAGAATGATGAATGATGAAAGAGGGGAAAGAATTTTTTTTTCTTCATTTTGTCTGCGACGCAACTACCGGAATCGGTGTCAAATATGTTAAGCAATTTCTTTTGTCTTCAGTCCTAGGCGGATTGTTTTTTCTACTAATCAAGTACACAGTTCACAATGTATATTGAAGCAGCCTCAATCAATTCCCTGACAGAGGCTAGTACTACCTATCCCGGCGTAATATAATAGACTGTACCAGTCTCCAACTGGTGAAGCCATACGCCATCCAGAAAAAAAAAAGAATCGTGGCGCAAGAATCGTCCTTCTTTAACTCGGAACTCGTCGAGTGAACCACGTTTCATCAACACGACGATCGGAAAACGACGCAACGAATCACAAGGCGCAGCGAGACCATCATGGC